TGAGGCTTTTCAGGTTTCAGAAACGGTGCATTCTTGCCATAGAAGGCGCTGGTTGTCCTCATCACTGCAAAGCATTTATTGTGGAACTACAAATCTTAACTTTAAGAATTCATAAGAATAAAGATAATTTTTAACATTCCAGTAATTAAAGCTATGATACAAGATCAACTGATAGGAGCTACTAAACATAGACTAGATAAGTCTAGAAAAAACTATTGTTAATGTTAACCGAAAAAAGTTTACAACTGTGATTTTGATAAGTTCAAGCACTCTAAAAGTGTGGTAGTTTTTTTTGTTGAAGTCTGTCTTATTATATTTCACATTAATATACAATCTACATGTTATTCCGATTGTGATTATGTTTATGTTTTGTACCTTGTACGTTTTTCACCTGCTACAAACTGTATCCCAATGAAGTGCAGTCAATATATCTAATCAGGAGAATTATGAGAGAATAATGATATGTAATTGCACCATCCTGATCCACAAAGTGGATCAAGCGCTGCTTAACTACTATGCTATAAAAAATAATAAATTAAAACTTAGGATGAATTTGGGCTACCTTTTCATTTGTTTTCCTTATTTGCTACCGAATTTTAGAGAAAAAAATGTATTCCTTACCTATGAAAATTATGTGTTTTTTGTGTAACTTATTACTAATTACTTGAACTGTTATGTTGAAGTTTTCTTTTGTTTTTAAGCTACTAACAACGAAATAGCTACCGAATCCTAAAATAAAAACAATTCCTATGTATCAAAAGAACGAAGTCGCCTGCAACAGCTTTAGCGATTTTAATATGCACCCTTCTAACCAATCCCGGCGTAAGCTTATAAAAGGGAATGTTCCGTGTGTTTGGGCTTTAAACCATTATTTTTTCATTAGGTTGTAGGAAGGCGAATTTAGGCAATCTGCGTACGGCCCATTTACTCTCATCGTCTCATCAGGCTGAAAATTTAATATCTTCTTCAGTTCACGCTATTGCCTTAATGTGTTTGTGTATTTTCCTGATTTCGCTTTTAACCGGCATTAAACTCTCGTAACTTGCGATTTTAATGGTGTTTTTCTTGAGTAACGGAAGCTTTTTTTTTAAGGAAATCGTCCAATATTGCTTTAATAAGCAAACATAACTATTGGCAAGATTAACGCATCTCGTTGGACAGAAAATATCATCACTTGAAAAAACACATACTAACCACCATAAATGTCAAATCATTTTCAACAAATTTCAATTATTAATAGTGATGGAGAGTGTAAATCAATATCCATTTAAAATTTTAAATCATAGATATTTAAAGTAAAATTTCTACAAATACAAAACGGTAAGTCGGTAGGTCAAATATATTTAGGAAATAGCTAGATCCTAGAAGCGTTCAATTGGTGACCATATAGCCAGTGAAACCGACAAGTAACAGGTAAAGATGTGCTAAATTTGTAATTAAACTAGACGTTATTTTAATTGCAAAGGCAGGTGAAAGATATTGTCACTGATCGGTTTATGATATGACTAAGATAACTTTTAATTAACTTTGCTAGGAAATAAACAACATATAAGGTAAGGGAAGAAATTAATTAGATTTGATTTTGGGTCTTTGCAAGTAGATCTAATTAAATATCTGGATGATTAGTAACTAACTTCAAATTATATATGTCTTCTCATTATTTTTAACTTCCAAAAAGAAACAATTCAAGTATAACCCCGTCAAGATCTATTTAGATTTTGTTAATAAATGAATTGCTTTCAACGTGAACAGACATCGCACTAAATTTAAAAAACCTTTCCCGATATTTTTATAAAAAGCTTGTCAGCTACCATCGCTGATAGGCATACGGTAAGAATTTTAATGGCGAATAAAGTGTATTCGCCGACGCTGTATACGCTTCCACACAAAACGCCTATACAATTGAAAATAAATTCAGATTATTAAGTCTGATTGCTTCCAGCGACTTTTGTGCTCAAACGGTTTCTTTCTCCGGTAAATCCTATGATTTAGGAACAATGTTACAAGATCACAAAGGGTGACAAACGATATAACCAATTAGGTGATGATTTAGTGTTTCTATACACACAGGGTAGGTAAGTCTATTTACGTGGGCACAACCATTCATTCATTTAGATCAGACTCAGCAATATTGGATTCTGGTTTTGCGTTTACCCATTGGCTTACCGGAAGCAATTGAACTTTAGTGGTTGAAACAATATAAACGTGAAAAATTTGCAAAAAAAAAAATGGCAAATGCTTACAAGCCATGTTGCAGTTGCAGTATTATTATTATATTTGCGCTGGTTCATAATAAATTATTATAGGTACTATCTCGGTTTTGAACGTATGAAAGATTCCGGATCAACTTTTTTGGATAGTCGCTCAGATATTTCCGACAAAACGCAATTTTAAACTTTTTCGAACATTTATAAGCTGTTTCACTCTACCAAAGTATTTAGATGTTTGGATTGGAATATGAAACAAGGCAGGCTATTGACAGCTACGGTAAGTACAAATTTAAAAGTTGGAAACTTTCCGACGGATTGAAGTGTATGTATTTAAAATAATCTGATTATGCCCAGAGGTTAAGGATATTTTGAACAGCTACTATTTATTATATTTACTTAAGTCCTTTAATGAAGAAATAACAATTATCCAAATAAAAAGTGTAAAACTACTAACCAACCAAAACAATCAGAAATTGTTAAGGTAGTTTTTTTTTAATGAAAAGGTAAAATTCGCCATGTTATTAGTTTGAGATATTATTTGCAGATTTTTTTTTTAAATATAAAAAAGTTAGTATTTCAGTTCAAAGTTCGAATTAAACAATATATGGAACGATCTTCGTGAATTCTGCTTTTATAGACATAAATAGGGTGGTGAGCTCGGTAATAGGTATGTCAGTGTAAGTAAATTATATAGATTCGATATAAAAAAGAAATTTCTAAATCTAACAAAAATTATCAAATAATATCGTCCTATGATTTTTATAAAGGAATTCTTTTTTTTTATAAAAATTCTAAAATTTAACTTTCTACACCTAGCTACGCTTGACCAAAAAAGTTTTTGAAAAATATTTAAAATTTTTAATGGCGAAAATATTAAATAATAATAAAAGCAAAAAACTGTCATGTTATTGGGACGATTTAGAAAAGGTACATAACAAAAATGATGAACAACATATACTTACTATATGGTGATATCTGGTAAAAAAAAAGTAAAAAACGTCTTGATTAAAAATTTTCGGAAATTGTTCCAGTTGTTCAGATGTTCGTATGTTTTTAATGGCAATGACTACCTAATTTATGATTAAGATCCACATATAATACACACGAAGAAAATCTATGTCAGTAAAAATTCCTTCCAATTATTAGTTACATATAGGCAAATCGCGTTGGCTCTAATCTCCATATCTGTCGCTGCAGATACTTCTTCCGTTTCGCTTATATCAATGAATATTGAAAATATCAAACAAATAAAACACACGTGTAAACTGTCAGATTTATATATTCACATTTTCGTTCCATCGACTAATAACTGTAACACACTGTACATTCGAAAATAAAACTTAAAATTATCATCATGATATAATTTATATACAGTAGCAGTGACATGGTTACAGGGCCCGCGTATCACAGCGATCGAATTTCAAAAACAACAACTCTCCCCAAGTGTGAATATAGCTTAGGACAACCCAAAACAATTAACAACGGAGTTGCCAAAGCGGCGAGAGAGCACGGGAGTTTGTTTGTCGAAAACCTGAGCGTCGGTGTTTGTATTTACAAACGCCCTTAAGTGTGTGTGATTGTATTTTATGTAAATTGGTAAATATTCAACTATTTGTAGAGAAAACACCGACTATCAATCAATCGCCGTATCAAATTTTGAAAAATAAACGACTAATCCAGCCTCGTTGGAAAATTCAGACTCGGATATAGGCTCGATCGGTTTTCTCTTTTCCCGATGAGCATTACCAAGCTAATTGTAAATGATAATAATAATATTATTAGTTTTAATGAAAATCCCTAATTGGATACTAGTACCCACTAGCATCGAGTCACAAGAAAGGCATTATTTTCCGATTTATAAGGAAACAAATACAACAGTTATACTAATCAAACTTTTGAAAAATTAATTGGAAATAGGTAATATAATATGTAATGTCTATTGTCATAATTCACTTTTCCAATAGATTGAAGCGTAAAAGCTCCCATTCAAAACATGATTTACCTAACGCCGAACTTTGTTGACGACTAAATTTTGAATATTTTAAACTTATAGGACCTTGACATAACGCAAAATATTTTTAACGCAGAAATATAAGCAACGGCAGTGTTCGACACAGCCAGTTTATTGACAACCTCTGACGCAAAACTTTATTCGCCAACGATTTCTTCGGAATTCAAATAGCCAAATTTGGAAAACGGTTGCAACATTAACACGCAAATTTTTTGAAGAAAAAATATTGCAGACGGGAAGGTTCCAACGGGCTGGAGGTCAACTTTTGCCATATTAATGTTTATTGGTAAGGTCTTTCTCCGCGCGTATTATAAACGATAAATATAACTCAATAAACACTATACAACTATGAATAAATATTTTGTGCAAAATGTACACACGTAAAAAATTCACTGGAATGCATGTCGATTTTTGCCGCGAAAACAAATAATGGAAAGTTGTACTCGCAGATTCTATTTACAAAGAAATTTGTAACCGGTCGTCTTGTTGATATCAGGAGTGGAAAGTACCCGGTAATATCTATATATCGATCCCGATTGCACAAAACAAAAAATTTTGAAGATCATTTCCCGATATATAAAACGTACTCCCAACATAAAATTTACGACAACATTTTCATACAAAAACTATTTACATTTATAGACCTAAACCATTTTCCATTCATGTAGAGTGTGCTTGGTGGTAAATTAGAGGCCTCGTATTGAAGAGGCGAAACTTAAAAAAAACTAATAATGCGGATATACGGGTTAAGGTCGGTAAGCCTGAGCCACAACACTTACGTGAATGAAAGAAGGCGAGGTCTTGTCCACCATCGTCATCATTATTTTGTTGAATACTGCAACGGTTTAAGGAACCGAATACTGATGATAAAAACGAAACTATATACAAGTTCATACGGGGTATTTACATCACACTTCAAATTGGCGACACGTCCAGTTCGGGTGCCGCGAACAGCGGCTCTCACATGTGAGCCAACGGCGCGAGGGGTCCCGGTCCCATTGGATCAGGAGATGAACTGTACTGGTGGTGTTGTATATGTTGCGAACCGTCGGTCGGCAGGTACATGCTTATCATTTGCCGAAGGTCCCCTTGCTGCTGCTGTTGTTGCCCGGTTACGTATTCCCGTTTAATACCGCCGGGCGTAGGCGTGTGCAAGCCGGAGCTTGGTGATACCGGTTCGGACTTTATACTAGAACCGGATGGGCTGTGCGACGAACTAGCCTGTTGCATCCCGTACGGCGAACCCTGAGGTACTGTGGTGGTGCCGTAGGCCCCATAGCTGCCGTTCATGTACGCCTGATGCTGCATCTGGCTCATGTCGTACCTTGCGTAGTTGGCGCCACCGTATTGTTGCTGATAAGCGCTAGGATCGTGCATCATGTAACCGTTGGGCATGTATCCGTTGGGCATCTGGTACATATCTCTCGCGCTCACTTGTTGAACGGCCGACGCGGCCGTCCTGCTGGTATCACCGGACGGTAAGAGACTCGACGCGCCCAATGGGTATTTGTCTTTTTTCAGCAGCGTTTTTGTTTTACGCCTCGGCCTGTACTTGTAATCGGGATGTTCTTTCATGTGCACGGCCCGTAACCGTTTCGCCTCGTCGATAAAAGGCCTCTTTTCGGTTTCACTCAACAGTTTCCACTCGGCACCTAACCGCTTCGAGATCTCCGAATTGTGCATTTTCGGATTCTCCTGCGCCATTTTCCGCCGCTGCCCGCGCGACCACACCATGAAAGCGTTCATCGGCCGCTTCACCCTTTCCATATTCTGAGCCTTCGACGTGTTGTTATTATTGTTCGACTGAATATGGGGCGTCGTGGGCTGTTGGTGGTTCTGCTGCTGGTGCTGATGATGCAGTTGGGGACCCTGCGGCTGATGATGGATTTGGTGTGGATGCTGCGCCAATTGATGCATGGGACTTTGACCCAGGGCACTCAACGACCCGTAACTTTGCAAACCGTGGTGAGGCGGCATCGTGGCATGTAAACTGCCTCCTTTAAGGTCCGTCTCCATGGTCAACATCTCTTCCGACGGCGCGTACAGCTTGATGGATTCACTTTGTACACCTCAACACACTATATTCACTCGCACCTTCGCGATGTCCGGTGTTACACTGTGTTGTGGCACCGAGGGAACCGTCCCCGTCTATTCTTCCCAGAGCCCCCACCATACGCGTTGATTGACAGCAACGCCTGCCATGTTTCCGGTCGACCAATAGGGCGCAGACTCGCTGGCTAGCGCCGCCTCGACCTTCCCCACCGATTCGAGTGCGCGCGTCTTCCAGTTTACTAATTACTTGGCCGATTACTAATTACACCTAGCGGGTATTTTTACGGCACGTCGTCGTACGAAGCAATAATAATTAATTAATATAAGCGCATCATTTCGTGCTCAAAAATCTCTAATTAATGAGATACCGCCGGTTGGTACAGCGAAATATTCTCAGCGAGCTGTAGGCAAATAAATTAGGCAACGGCGAGGCGAATAAAAAAAATATGTGGGCTTACAGTTACGTTGGGTAATATAGGTGACGAGCCATTGACAAATCGATAGCGTCACAATGGGATTGTTTGGTAAACAGTCGTGCCGATGGCATTAACAAAAATGGTTTGCGAGCTTTTCGGGCTGCTCTTAAAATTATCGCATAGGTGTTTACTGTCGCGCTAATTATCAATCAATAATTCGGATCCGGAACTCCTTGATTGGAAACTGATCCCCGGTCAAATTTAATGCATTTGGTCAGACTGGTTTCTGGCGCAAAAATTATAATTATAATATGATTTCCACACACATAACTCCTTTCTGAGTGAAGATTTAATGGGATCTAAACTTATTCTGAGAAAATACTCCCCTGAAAAATGGAGCATGCGGCGCAGCGGTCAGAGCATCGGTTAAAAACAAAACTTTAAATACCGCGCATGCGTATGTCTAATGGACCTTCTCAAATTTTTTTCATAGTTGCTTCATAAGTTCCTGTGTTATCAGTATAGGCAGTACTTAAACTAGGTTTAGTCGGGGACGTCACTGGAATTAAGAATTTTACCAAATAGGAATTAAGATGCGGATCAAATATTCATTACTTCAGGAATTTAGAACACCAATTTACATGAACGTCATCAATAAATTCCCATTGTAAGTAGCAAAATCGTCATCATATTGGAGGTAACAATATACAGGGTTATTCACGGTGATTATCCTATTAAACGTTTATGGAGAATGTCTTACGGTAAAAACCCTAAATGTAGGCTACTTATGTAAGCGAATATGAGCTACTTATGTAAAATATTTCTGGTCCTGCGATGTGGCCAGATATAGTAGTACCGTATATCAACTTTCGTTTTTTAAATGTAACACCCTTGTATATTATTACATTTTTAGATTCTGCGAAATATTCTGGAAATTTTTTATGTAACATATACTATAACTATCTTGAACATTTTCGGATATAAAAAATACTTTTTAAGGATTTTTTTTGCAACCCGTACAGCTAAACATTTGAGTTTTCGATTGCGGTCCGCTGTTAAACTGCTTTATCATAATATAGTACGAGAATTAAATTATTGCGTACAGAGCGTTCATAAGATAAAGTCCCATTGGCAAGATATAAAAATTCATGTTACGCATGAATTTTAAAATGGAACACCCCATATTTTACATTGGCACGTAAATGAGAAGTTAATTTGTCATCTAAAAGTACCAAATTATGGTATGTTTATTTTCACTGATTTGATAGTTAAAAGTTGCGTTTCATTGAGTAAGCAAGATGGCACAATGATGCAAACGCAGATATTTTGAATTTGTTTTACATTTATGGTGAGTGTCAAAGAATTGTTTCAAGAAGATTTAATGAACAATATCCGCATATGCCACCTATGTATAAAAAGTTTAAAAAGATTGAACAAATTTTCAAAACCTACCAGGAAGGGAACTTCCAAAACCTATTACAAACTCGGAAGCAAGTGAAATCAATGTTTTAGCATATTTTTATGCATTTAAAAATGCGTGTATTCGGAGCGTTAAAGATTATTTAGCATATCTTCAACAGATGCTGAAGAAACATAATATGGTTAGAATACAAGAAGATATAGATTTTGTGAAAAGAATACTTGGGACCGACGAGCCAAAATTTTCACTGAAGGAATAATCATTTTTGGTGATCAGAAAATCCAAAATTTGTACGAGAAAGGCAATTCCAACATACATTTAGTGTCAACGTGGTTTGTTTGATGATGGACAATAAAATAGATTTTTGTATCTACAACGAGAATTTCAACGAAAAGTACCTGGATATTTTAAGAACTGTAGTTACAGATTTTTTAGACAATTTGCTTTTAGCGTTACATCGCAGATGTTGGTGCCATCTTGATTGAGCTCCGGATCATTGCACAAATAGGGCAAGTCAAGAACTTACAATAATGATTGAAAACGATGCGTAAAGCGTCTAGGTATATGGAATTGGCCACTGCGTTCGCTAGATATTACACCAGCTTACCTTTGGGGTGCTGTTAAAGAAAGAGTTTATAAAACTCCAGTTGGAACAATAGAAGATTTGAAGAATTTCAAAGGACACAGTTTCCAATGTTATGAAGTCAATCCATGGATGTCTTAGAGCAAATGGAGGTCAATATCTAGCTGTATGTAATTAAATACTGTTTTGTGTATTACAGTTTCTACCAATATTAAAATTTTGTTGGCTTCCAGTTTCATGGTGACAATTACTCATTTGAACAGACTAATAACGGAAGATTTGTCAAAGACAAATTTGTTTACAAAAAAGGTCACCATGGCCGACCAGAGCCTGCTACCCAGTGATTACTGTAATTCGCTCTATTTGCAATATTTCGGTTTTTTGCTTATTACTTGAAACCCAATGAAAATAGATACACCATGGTTCGATTAATTGCTCATTTAAGTGCCATCGTTCCATGAACGACCTGTACGCGATAAGTTAATTCTAATACTTTACGATAAAGCAATTTAATAGGGAACCGCAACCAGAAATTCACGGGTTGCGAAAAAAATTATTATTTTATATCGGGTTGTTTGTTTGCAAATTTCTTAAAAATTATTTTTTATCTTTACACATTTTTACAGCGACTCGTTTACTCGTTAAACAACAACATCACTCCATTTGAATTTTTGGCACCTTTTAGCGATGCAACTAATAACATCATAATGTTTATAACAGACATATGCAACATATGCAAATTTCATTGACTTTGACAAATTTCATTAACTTTCCTGTAACAAAGTTCGGCGGTAGTTGTTAAATTTTGTTAATGTTCCAAAGTTGTTTTTTTTCTTATCCTTTTTTGTGACTGACTTCACTTAGTATACTAAATCGGTATGCCGAACTACTCCATTACTCATAAAACAGTCCTTTATTAATAACATACCACTTTTTAAATTAAATTTTATACATGTTAATGTTAAAATAAATGTCCAAAATATGTCTCAAATTGGATTTTGGAAACCTCTTATATTCAATGGATTCATATACCTAGTGTTTAGGTAGGTAGGTAATGAATATATTCAAATGGTATTTTCAAAATTTTATTATTAACGTCAATGAATAGTTTAATAGTAATACCTATAGATAAAAAATCACACGATGTAAATAAATTAAAGTAAAAGTCATTATAACAATTTTTGAGATCGAACATTTTCGCACAAAACTATATCCTTCAGTGTTTATGATATTGCTTTGTTTTTCTTGTTTTTTAAAGTCAACCTCTACACATGTGAAATTGATATTTTGAATTTCAATATTCTTTCAGATTAATATATTATTGCTTAACTTGACTTTTTTGAACTTGGTAGTTTGCATTTTATGTTACATTTTAAGTTTATGTCTGACTTGAGTAGCTTCTCGGTGATAAATTAAATTCAAAACACTCCTATCATTATAAACTGTTTATAAATTAAAATAGGTTTTTTTGCGTTGGCTATGAAATATCCCACGGCTGGAAGATCGAGGTGTAGTGGGGAACGGAATAATCCTAGAAATTTCATTAAAAGTTGTTGAAGTAAATCGACCAAGAGACAATTCTGAAAATTATCTTCGAGTTTCTGAAACAGGCAACAGGGGCGTAATTGCCACTTTGATTTTTAAATCACGTGTTAAGCAATTTTTTTTTATAATAATAAGAGTTCGAATGAGTACTGAGATTAATCTCTAAAAAAAATCAAAAATGAACTTAGATATCACGTTTGTATTCAACGCTGTCAAAATTGTAAATATAATTTTTCAAATGACCTCTTTCTTTCCAAAAGGAATGCATTTTTTGCCTAATCTGTCTTTAGGTACTGAGATTTCTTGAAATATTCGTTTATTGTGTTTTATTCTTTTATTGGGTGACCGAACTGACAAAAAATTAGTATAAAGTTATTCTTTGTTTATATGTTGTCCCATAAAAGTTTGCCTACCTATCAGGAAACTCTGTTAATGCTTATGAGAATAATGTTCAGGTCGATAGTATTTATATAGACTTTTCGACGGTCTTTGATAAGGTCTACTATAAATTACATATGAATAAGTTAAATATGTTGGGGTTTGCAAGTCATATTTTAAACTGCATACGAGCTCTCGACCTATGCGAAGACAAAAAGTTAAAATCACCAATCTAATATCAAGCGACATCGACGTTGCAACCGGTGTACCCCATGTGCCTTCATGTTGGGATTTGCTGATGATTTTAAGGACATATTTAAATATTATTAAATGCATTTTACACTGACATTTTTTCACGAAAACTTCCATTAATAATTGTACTTATGAAATAAATTTGTTTTTAAATGAATTTGTAGTTTTACTATTTACATATCTTGTGCGTCGGTTGTTAACAAATAGAATGCGATGACATTTCGCCAATCGTCATGTTGGCTTCATCAGAGCTTAACTGAAACTTATTATTTTATATTAGATCCAAACGATATTCTAGTTACTTTCGACCTCCCTCTTTACTAAAGTCCTGAAACATTCAACATTATTTCAGATATATATAAATCCGGAAATCTGCAACCAAACCTTATCATAAAATTTATGAGCAAATATCGGGGACAGCTATGAGCCCTCCATTATCATCTTTCATCTCAAATAT